GGATGGATGGATGGATGGATGGATGGATGGATGGATGGGTCAAACCGCTAAACAAAGTAAAACTTCACTCCACTCAACCGGGGATGAGAGTGCAAAAGTTTGCATTAAACAATATTGAGTTTAATCCGGTAATATTATGACTTTATCCTTGTAGTATAGGAAGTTTATTCTCATTATAATGCTACTTTATAATAGAGATTTTTTTTCTCTTATTTTTCTACTTTATTCTCACAATTTTACAGCCTGTCAAAAACAAAATAGTTTTTAGTTTGGCCCTAATAAGTCGTCATACTGTTCAACCTGATTAAACTTGAGCTATTTTGAAAAGACGAACTGGTAAGAAATTCAGTCTCTAGATGAGCAAAAATGGGAAAGATAAATCTTCAAAAGTTGTTAAGCTGAATCTAAGTGAAAGAGACGGTTCTATAAAAGCACTGACCAATGGAGGGAGGAGTACAACAGAACAGCCTGCTTTAAAGATTATTGCTGAATGAGTTCTCTAAAATCGTGTGTCCCCTTTCTTTTGTTTAGGGATATTAATACTTAATCTTCTACTACAATAAAAAAACAATTCTAACTACTGCTTTCCTTATACTCCTCATATGATGAGACTCACTGATTATATCCTTAACGCGTCTCGACCCACTCTTCTCCAGCTCTGCCAGGACATTCGCCTCAAAGGTCAGAGAAGCCACACGCAGGAAAAGATCCCTGACTCCATCTCCTGACACAGCAGAAAGAGAGCGGCAGTAAGTGAGCTAAAATAGATCAAATGTTAACATAGAAAGCTTAATGGAGAAGATTAGAACTAGTTTATTGCCTACCTGACTTTGCAGACACAGCCCAGTACTCGGCTTTGATTGCCTCAGAGAGTCTGATAGCTTCCTGTTCTACCTCAGCCAACTGATCAGGCGACTAACAGAGAGGAAAAACACGAATATTACTGAAAACTCCCAATTATAACTAGATCTATAATTAAATATAATTAACTCAGGATCAGATTCATATTTTACTGTTTTACAGAGGTGTCCAGTAACAAAGTACAAATAATTTGTTACGTTACTTAAGTAGAAATTATGACTATATACTTTACTGCAGTAATTATTTCTTAGACAACTTTTTACTACTACTTCTTACACTTTGTTGCAGTTACCTCTACTTTCTACTCCTTACGTTTTAAAAATAGACTTATTAGTTTCGCTCCATTTGAGCTCATTTTCAATATGGCTTGTTGGTATTTAAAAAAAAAAATTAAATACATCAAAATAATTTGTTTCACCCAGACAATTTCTTTGTTGTTGGACTCGGTGCTGCACCAACTCATTTCGCCACAAACCAGAATAAATCGTTTTTCAACTTGATGCAAACTTAAAATTGATACTGTTACCACTGTTATCATTCAGAAAATGACTAAGACTAATGATACAATAGTATGCTATATGTAAGAATTGCTATTAAAATAACATGAGTAGTAAAAGTAATTATTGCTTTATTACATAAAATGTTCCCCATAAAATAAATATATAATTATTGCTATTGCTGCTGTAACTGTTCCAGTAGCTTTTAGTTAAACACTGAATATTAAAGAATATTTATTTCTTTAGAATGAAACATTTCTGGGTATTAATGTATATTGCTGTATTATAATATATAATCTCTTTGCTATAAAACCTGTTGTATAACAGTGAGGCTAACAGTGATGGTGCATGAAGAATGATGGGGATAATATCACTTTAAACTTGCTCCTACTCCTAAAAATATGCGGAACTGGTTAAAACCTTTACAGTTTGATGTTATACTCATGATATCATGCAAATATTCAGATGCAATAAAAAAAAGAACATGGCGGTGAAATAAAATCTTTTAACTATCATATATCATATACATCTTTTAACTTTATATATAAAAACAGCTGAAGGTTGCTGGAGCTTTTTAAAAGAGTTACTGTAAAATTAATTAATTAACAGATAATTTACAAACACTGTGGAAGTCAAAGATGTTGCAAACATGTCCCGAGGCCTTAATGTCATCAGTCAAACACATCAATCATTTTTAGTCAGCAGGCTTAAAAACATTGATCTGTTTAGTAGTTTTGATACCAAATTTTGTGAATGAGGTCAACGAAAACGGGACACTTCATTCCCTCCATTTTTACTAATCTGTCTAACCAAATAGTTAAGCTCTAATCTCTACGGAGTTGCATTCATGAACTTCACCCACGCTGAGGTCTTTCTTGGTACCGACGAGGAACAGTAAGACACTGGACGGGTCGTTTTCCCTCATGGCATCCTCCAGCCACTGCCTGCACACACAGATCTACCATTTTATATGGTTCCATACGCAGCGGGTAAATATTTCAAAAACACGTGAGCTTACCTACCTGGCATGTGCTAATGAGTTCAGACTGCTTAAGTCGAACACCACGATAATAGCTGGGGACACACAGTTTGATTGGATATAAACCAGTTCAGTTAAATTTGGGATTATTGCAGCAGAGGCAGAGGTAACGCTCACCTTGTGCTCCTCTGTAATACGTTGAGGCGATGCACTTGAAGCGTTCCTGACCTGCTGTATCCCACCTGGAAAACATCAAGCAAGCAAACAAACCCACAGCTTCATTCTATAATTTTACACTATTCCAGAGTTTGCAGAACCAATACAGTGAAGGTAACCTATTAGTCCAACCCAGCAGTGGAACAAACTAGTACCATCTCAGAAGGAAGAACTGAGCTGACTTACAGCTGCAAGCTGAAGGGAACACCAAGAACCTCGAAGCGCTCCATCTCAAAGTCCACCCCGATGGTGGCTTTGTAGTTCTTATCAAACCCTCCTCTACAAAACCTGGCAAAGAAAGGAGGCAGAGATTCGTAAAATGAAAGTATTTTCTCGTCAAATAGATTTATAAATCCATATGTTAAATACCAGCCCTGTACGTCTTTCTTTGTTAACATGAAAGCTAGATATGTTGATTAACTCATGGTATATGAAACAGACAATATGGAGTCAAACCTGCAACCTTAAAACAATGCAGAACTAATCATTGTTCTCAATTTAAAACAGTCCTGCATCACAGCTAACAGGGGAACAGGTATTTCAAATAACTTATTCTAATTTTTGTGGAATTAATTTAGAAAATGATTTAAATTGTGGTTGGAGAACAACTTGTTCAGGGTTAAAGTGCAAATTATCCAAGTTTTACAAAGGTTCCCATCAACATATTTTAGCCTCAATCGCACAGAATCCTCAATGTGCTTCATGGGGTTTTTATGTATCAAAACTAAGTACAAGCTGACTGTAAGGTGGAAGGAGAACAATTTATTTATTCTTTTATTTGTTTTTCTTACATAAAATCTGAAAAGTGTGTCTGTGTTTCTAAATAGCTGGTCTCCTGGAGTCATATTTAAAAAAATTCTGCTTCAATTCCAGCAGCAAGTCTGTTTAGATTACGCTTCTTCTGGCTTTATACACCTGGAGGATACATTTCTGTCTAATATGAGACATTAAACCTCTCAGATTCTCAACCCGAATGAGGTCACACCTTTGTTTAGGCTGTTCTACTACATGGATGTACTAACAGTACATGTTAACCATCTCATTGTGGCTCTGGCTGCTTGTTTAGAGTCATTCTGCTGGAAAGTGAACCTCTAGCAACAGGTTGACTTTTTAGGGTTAGTCTCCTAAGCTCCACCATCTCATAAAGAACTCTGACTAGCAGCAGCCCTCCCATTGCATTATGCTACCACTACCATGTGTCACTGTAGGGATGATGGATTCTGTATTATATCCACGATTGCTGTGACACCAAAATGACTTTCAGCAAACTTCTAATTGCTTAGCAGCGGCTAACTTCCTGGACCTCTTCAGTAAAGTAAAGGTCAGTTGTGTGACGGGTATGTGTCTTATATTTGAGCCACACTTCTTCCAGTTTTTGGATGGCTTGATCAGTTCTCTAAGGGCTTTTAAAAGGCCCCAGACCTTTTAAAACTAAGTGAATAATATTTGATGGATGAGTTTTTGAGATTTCTGCATCATCAGTGTAATCTTGCTCATCTTAAAAACTCTGACTTACAGACTCAGACATGTGTAGTGAACAGAAAAGGTATATAATATTCTACAGAAATGCCTAATGTATCAAAATTGATGCAAATAGATGTTCTAATTCAGCTTATACAAAATGTATATTCTTTTGTTTAATTGTCATAGAGTTCACTGACAAAATGTATAAAAAAATATATAATTTTCAGTCAGTTATTTCATGGTCCAGGCTCTAATAGGTTAGGAACTAACCCCGCCTTAAATTTATTTGAAACATTCTTCCTGGTCTTGCTGCTGTGTTCCTGATGCTCTTTAATCATGAATGTTCTCCAACAAACCTCTGAGTTACCTTGGAGGACCATTGATCTTCGTGAATATACTTTAAGGAAAAAGTTGCTTTTTGGATTTACCCAGTCACTCACTTTGATCATTAGTAAAGTCATTTGGCCTATTGTTGGGAAAACTTTTTCTCACCTGCTGATTAAACAGGTTTTCCCGACTGCAACGTCTCCCACTACAATGACTTTGGCGATATTAAAGCTGGAAGCAGAAAGTCCAAAGTGTAAACAATCAGATGACAGAAGAAGCATGCTGGTACCACAGTCAGAGCTCATATTGAACATTGAACAACTAAATTTTCGATGTTTTATTTGAAAACCGAGGATTTTAAAAACTGATAGAATTAAATTTTAGCAAAGGAAAATGTTTGCCAAACCTGAAGTATTTCCTAAAGCTGTTTTCAGTGAGTTCAAATGTACTTTATGTTATTGAATCATGTTTTTTTTTTTTTTTTTTTTATAAAAATTGTTTTATAGACATTTCTGAACAAAAATTCCTAATAGGACTCTGAAGCACCACAGCTTGATTAAAAGGTAAATGTTTCAAAGCGCTGTTGTTATATGAGAGGTTATGGTATATATTTCACCAATTAAAAAGATGAGTAACACTTCAAACTTAATTCAAACAGATTCTTAGACTTAACTAACATTTAGCTGCTTTCTTTCTGAGCTGAGCAGAAACCTCTATATCAGATTTAGGGAAAACATTTCCTAAATGATAGGTTGTTCAGAGCTTCTTATACTTGGAAATTGTTTGCAAAATAATAAAAACTTCCAAATAATTATACTTCTGAGTTTCAAGGAGTCTTAATTTGGATCTAAGTACTTATTTATTTAAATATCAAATTAAATCCTTTTAACAGCTTAAGCAATTCTCACTTTGTCGTTTTAGAGTCAGGCAGAATAATGCTGTCAGATACGGTTGGTTTTGCAGATGTCTTTCAGCTGATGCAGCAGACATATTTTAGTGTGACTTCACAGCCCAAACTGGAGTTGATTCGTTTAGCCTGAACAGACATCTCTGTGTAGACAGGAGGGACTTTATAGGCATAATAATCCTAAAATGGATCTTACCTCACACCATCTGTCTTCTGAATCTGGCAGGCAGCTCTCACTTGTGGGTGGAAGCTTTCTTTGGTGTGCAAAGCTGCATTTGGACTAAAACACTATAAAAAAGGATTACAAGAAAAGATAAAAAAACAAAAACAGGGGATGATAAAAACTAAACTTATATTTGACATTTAAAGGAATGAAATTCACTTTTTTCTGCCTAAAAATAAGGAGAAACACGGATCCAAACTAATCTTAGGACTTTCTACAGTTTCAGTTATTAGATCATTTCACAGTGGAAGGTTATTTCAGTCATGCTACAGAGAAAGACCTGTGGGCATTTTTGTGTTTAGAACTTTGAGGAATTTTAAGAAAGTTTTATATTTGCTGCAGCAGTGTCTTTACAGGTCTGCCTAAAAAGTTGATCAGACACCTTCAAAAAAAAAGCTTCTGTGTCCTTTGACTGTGCTACCTAAACATTGTTAGTTAAGATTTTGGTCCAACTTTCTTCTTTTTTTTTTAAATCATTTTATAAATCATTTTTTTCACTTGAGTTATTCATGTTTATTAATTATCTAATTACCTTTATGTCCCTGCAATCTACTTTCATGTATATTTTATGACAGCACAGCAGCTGTATTGCTAAATGTGCTATACAATATGTGCTCACAAAAGCCTTGAGCTTTCCCATATATTACCACGTTTGAAACACATACTTATATTACTACCATTGCACATTACAAAGGGGCACATGTGTTGATAGAGAGCAAAAAATGATTCCAGTTTACAGCGCAACACATTGGGGTTTGTGACGGATAGGAAGCAAAATGTAATTGCTAGGAAAACGTTTCCACAGCCATTCCAAAAAAAAAAAGCAAAAAAAACACTGGACTTTGTTTTCCAACTTTGAAGATGTTTTGCTTCCCATCCAGGAAGCTTTTTCAGGTCAAAATGTCTGGATTAGCGTTAAGTTCCAGGTTTATACACTGGCCCAAATAAAAGCCTTTTTATGGCTTAGAAAACATGCAAATTGAACTGAAAAAACAAGTCCACCCCTTAGTAATGGGGAGTCATTGAGATTGTTGTTGGCCCGGCTTACAGGAGCGATGTTTTGACCAGCTGCATGGTGAGGAATCAACTCTATCGCTGCATTGTAGGTTTTTGAGAGCTGAAACATGAGTCCACCCCCTCTGTTTAAGGTTGTTTTTTCTTTCTTAACATAAATGGCTTCCTTCACACCCCTTTCAAACCACCTGTCCTCTTTGTCCAAAATGTCCTTAAGGTGTAGGTGGACCGCAGAGTCTTTTCCTTGTTTCCAAAGCCCTAAAGTTGCACTTTTTTAAAGCTAACTTGTAATACTTTTTTTATATATATATTTTTGTCCTTAATATAGTGTATTTTAAATGATCATCAGCTTGTCCTTGTTGTTCTGGTTGTTTTACTCGCCTTTGGGAGGTGCGTGATGATTCGTTCCTTCTTCACAGGAGGCAACATGCTGCCACAGCGGCGTCACAGATGATCACTTGCACACTTCAGAGACACACGATCACTTATTTTATTCTAAATGAGGCACTTTGTTATGTTTCCTCTCATTTAACAACTTGCACAGTCTTAATGTCTTCTATATTTGCCTGAAAAAAGAAAATAAAAACATGTTTGAAATGTGATGATCGTTTTCAACAGAAAGGCAGAGTGCACTTCAAAATAGAAAAATAATCCATCTGAAAACAGATTCATTTGATCTTAATCTGAATGTTAATATTTATTAAATGTTAAAATGTTGTACCGAAAACCAATATTACACATCCTTATTATTCAACCAAAAATCAAATAAATATTTTAGCAGACAATCCCCTGCAAATACACTCTATTGCTCTTTACTTCACACCTGCTGTTAAATTAAAGTTAATATGTTCTTTGATCTGCGATAGACTGGCGACCTGTCCAGGGTGTACCCTGCCTCTCGCCCATTGACTGCTGGAGATAGGCACCAGCACCCCTCGCGACCCCACTTGGGACAAGCGTGTAAAGAAAATGGATGGATGGATGGATGGATGTTCTTTGATAAAAAAAAAAACGTATTTGTTCTAAAGGTTTTTTTTTTAAGGTAGGATTAAACCAAACTTACTGAGCAAAGATATAAGTCATATCAAGATGTAAAAATCCCCAGCATGCTTTATCAAAGACTGAATTAATCACTTGTGTAACATGCAACAACAGCTGCAATATAAAAATGGGCAGTTTAGTTAGTTAATGAAAAGACAAAAGTAAAAAAAAAACAAAAAAAAAACTATGCAGCTCCCAGGAGCCTGAGGGATATGCAGGGATTTCTGAGTAGTACTAGCTGTTTTCGTTCTTTGCCAAGAATCTCTTATCTATTCATTTTTTGCATGTTTAAGGAGTATCTTTGGTAGATATAGTCCTTCTCTTCTAGGAAAACTAAATTAATAAATAAGGCCTGTGCAAAACCTCCTAAATGTATTGGAGGACTATGTTAATGTCTGAAGTGTGTGAGCTAAGCTGGAGCTCACTTACAAAAAAAATAAATAAATTGGGAAACAGAAAAAAATCTGATAGATAAGCTCTGTGTTCAAGCACAGATACCTGTGGAAAAGAGCTGACCTAATAAGCTGATAGATTAGGAGAACTTGTGTAGTTTCAACTTATTCTTTGCCCATACAAACCAAGTTATTGCAGCTTTTTGTTATTGTTTTAAGTATATGTCACATTAAGGTGAAAATTGTTTTGATCACATCAAAACTACAGCAATTTTGTTATCCCCTTAAAGACTAAGAAACTCATCTGTAAATAAAAAATCTCTTAATTCTCTAATACATTATTAATCCATATAGAGAACTAAGCAAACAATGGTCTATGTCGTTCAGTCTTTTCAGACAAAAGAATCCAGAGAACAGGCTTTCAAACTGCATTAGTAGATGCAAACTGCAAAAAGATAGACATCTCTACTGCACAACCCAAAAATCTATGGATTCAATTATTCTATGTGGACAAATAGAATTAAAACAGCCTTACCTGAACCAGATGGTATTATAAAAACAGTTTTTAAAAACTCCGA